AAACTTCAAAACTCTTTCAAACTATCGGAACTTAAAAAAGGTTCTGTATGAGAGTTCCGAAACTATTTTCATGCCACGGAACTTAAAATCGTTTCGTAAAATAGTGCAGAACCTTCAAAGTTCCGTAGAACACCTATTTTTTTTACAGTGTGGGTGTGGGTGTAGTTCTTACCGATGTATACTCCCAAACTTTCGAACACACACCCACACCCTGTCGGTTCCCTTGATTTCTTTTGAACTGTTCGTATTTATACATTATAGAATTGCGACGAAAACCAAACTCATACAAGTGTAATAAAATTGAAACTTACATAAATTATTGAAAATAGAGTTGATACCTGTCAGAATGAACTACAGGTCGGTTGTTTTTCGCGAGTTTACGGAAGAATCAATTCAACGTATTGAGCGTTATCGACAAGAAGCTGAACGTGTTGCTGCTGAACGATTAGACGTATCACTACATGTAAATCATTATAATGAGCGTCGTTCTACGACGAGGTTATCAAAACATGAAGCAATTAATTTTCCACGAATGCCAAATAAAGAATTGGCCACTGGAGAAACATTACCACTAATTTTACAATACAAATTTCCTCCTGAACTTGTTGAAAAACCTATTGAAGAAATTGATCCATATTATCGTACTGAATATGTGTGTATAATGATCAATAATTTAATCTTACAAAAAAAGAAAAATTATTTTGTTTATTTTAAATCATAGGATTTTATGGTTATTAGTGGAAACAAAACAATATTTCGATTTAGTTCAACACGTGCTTGTTATCTATTTGCTTCACATAATTGTTGTCGACGTTTAGCTATACGTATATTAACACATTCACTTTTTACTACATTGATTATACTTACTATTTTGACTAATTGTGTATTTATGACACTTAAAAATCCACCGGAAGTGAATGAGTAGGTTATATTGTTTTGGTTTCTTTTAATTAATATTATGGTCTTTTATCGAATTTGAAATAACTAGATATATTGTTACAGCAATTTACACAGTTGAAGTATTAATAAAATGTATTGCACGAGGATTTGTTCTAGAAAAACATACGTTTCTACGTGATCCATGGAATTGGTTAGATTTCATTGTAATTGTACTGGCGTATGTATTTAAAAAAACAGAAAATTTTCTTTGAATTTATTGTTTACTTGTTTTTAGATATGTAACATTTTTTGTCAATTTTGAGAACTTCACAATACTACGAACATTTCGTGTATTAAGAACATAAAAATCTGTTGCTATTTTAGCTGGTAAAAGGTTAAACATTTAAAGATTATTCGTTAATTGATTCATTTTAGATTTAAAAATTATTGTGGTTGCTTTAATGCGAGCTCTTATTGGTCTACGCGATGTGTCTATTTTAGCAACCTTTATACTTTCTACATGTGCTTTGGTTCGAAATTTCGAAATAAAAATTCAATTAATGCTTGTTCTAATTATAGGCAGGATTACAACTGTATAGCGGTGTTCTTCGACAAAAATGTGTACCGACTTATGAATCGTTTTTAAATAATTCCAATGTTTATGGTGTACAATTAAATATGTCATTTGAATTCTATTTGGCAGAAATTGATAATGAAAGTATGTTAAAAAAATTTTTTTTTAAAGATTAAACGAATAGATTTTTGATTAATTTACTGTTAGAAACAAATTCCGAGACTTAGTCTATTTGACACTCGTTTATTAGTTTAGGCAGTTAAGATTAAATGATTCGAGTAAGGTGTCAGAAATACGAAAATTTCCACAAAATTTTGTTGTGTGATATTTATGCATGGTTGAGTAGAGACCACCGAAGTATCCAAAGAAAATTTTTCGATTAACAAAAAATTTCTAAAAGAGTTATTTTCATTGCTTTTATGAGATAAATCTACCTTTGCCAATGTTTTTTTACATACGTAAAAGAAATGCTATTTTCTGGTTCAGCACATGAAGCTGACGCTGGAAACATGTTTTCTATTATTCAATTAGAAAGTGAGTAAAAAAACTTTTGATTCTAGTGGTGTCTATCCAAGTGAATCAATCTGATATAAAATTCAGTCGGATTCGACAAGTAAAACCTATTTAATTAGTTAAGTACTAAATAATATCTGATGCCAACAGTAGAGATCGCTAAGAGCAGTGCGTTTGTGGTTGCGAAGATTTCCGGCAGTAGAATTCTATCGACTTACAAGACTAGGCATCCGAATATCGTTTCATGTTCTGAATTTCGGTAGGATTTCGCCGTTTTTTTTATTCACATAAAATTCGATCAGATTCGATTATTAGAATGATTCTTCTAGAATGTCTAAAGATATGGAAGACCTAAAATTTGAAAGTTTTCTAGATTCAACTACGAATTATACCATGAGAAAAAATTTTGTTCCAAGCAAAACTCAATTTTATTGTTATAATTTTCTATGCTTTTCAGTAAACTATTTGATAAATCAATATGTAAATTATGGAGAATGATACTTGTTGTCGAATAAAAAATTTCAAAAATGAATATTGAAATAAATTCTGAAGCATTTCTTTGCAGCCTGGAATCTAAATCAGAACAATTTGGTTTTATATATATGTCTAATCGTTACATATAATCAATCTTACGTCAAGTGGTTGTAAATGGAGAGATAATATCTAAGCATATTTATCACTTTGAGCCTATTCATATTTCACTGGTATGTTCCTTTTCCATAGAATCCTAACTCAAAAAAGAACATTATAAAATAGTTCCCACGAAAGACCATTGTTTAAAATATGATTTCAACAAGTTTGTTTATTTACTATAATGTTTATGAATGATTGAACGAGCAGTCAAATATATCTAATTTTATTTTTCGAAGCTAAACAGCCCCTTCGAACGTGAAAGAATAAGAGAAGAAAACAAATTTATGAAAAGAAAATAGCAATAACTGTGTATTGTTTTATGTTTTTCCGGAAAAAAAATCTTTTATAACAACAAATGTACAAATCACCATTGTATCGTAGGCATAGTAAATTCGATCCGCTCAGAGAATGTGACAGGACACTCAAATACAGATGTTGAGCACAACGCACCCTAACAAACAAGATAGGATAGAACAAAATAGAGCATGTTTCAGGGTAGTAGAACTTTACAGTTAGGAACAGTATTTCGAGTGATAAATTAAAATAAAACGTACGATAAACGCTAGTTTGAATGAGAAAAATGTAGCGTATTGAAGTTTTCTATATTAAAAAGAAATTGAACCATTTGTACACGACGTTCGGGTAGAAGGAGAGAGAGAGAGAAAGTCTTTAAAAATGGACAAATCTGAATATACTGAGAGGAGCTAAATGGTTCTAGACGTGTAGGGAGTAGAGCTTGTCGGGTCCAACATTTTTGGACCCGAAATCATACTCGAACCCGCTTTATAGAAAATTTCCAAACCCGGACCCGGACCCTATCCAGACCCAGTTGGGTTCGGGTCCTACCCGACGGGCTCTAGTAGGGAGTTACTCGGAATGTCTTCTTTATCTTTACAACTTTTGTCATGAATATGACAATTGTTTCTTTTCATATATTTCTACTATTTATTATTTTCTGTTCACAAAAATGAAATGTATTTATATACTAAAAAGTTTTCAATAAAATAATATCTCATGACGTGTTTATTTTTTTAGTGAAAATAAAGTGATTGTTTAAGGTCAATATTGAATTTAAACAAATCCTGATTTAATCTATATTAATATCAGATCTGAGATCGAACGAGTTCAATGTCTGACTGAGATTTGCTTAGGCGTGTTCAGGAGTAATTTCAGCTTTAGATCGATTACCAAACATATTTGAACAATCAGACATTTTCTGAAAATGTTTTCTTTATACTGAACGTCCAGAATAGGAGAAGTGAAGAGTCGAAAAGCGGGATTTTTCTCTAGATTTCCTTCATGGATAACCATAGTGTTAAAAATATCTTCATATCTGATTTACTCAGTAAAAAGGCAAGATCCATAATAATCAAGTAGAGAACAAGGAAAAAATCAATCTGTGTATAATTCATTTACGAAGACTCAACATCCAAAGGTGCAATATTAGAATAGCACATAAACATGAAAACCTTGATTTACTGTTTTTTCGAAATCCTAAATAAGTACAAGACCTATTGAACACTATTTTTGTTTTGTTCATCATCATGAACATCATTATGACTTAGAGAAGATTAAATTGAATGTTGTAATTTTTAATTGTTTCTGCAACTGTTATGTTAGTATCGGAAACAAATTAACATAAGTGTGGAAAGGAAAAGAATCACAAAATTAGACAAAGGATGCCGCGTAACAACTAGCAGAAAACATACAGACAAAAAAGGACCATTGCGTATTCATTGTTTAAACACAAGTTTTTGAATTAAAAATGCATTTAAAATCATTCATACAAAGTGTACAGCAGCGTCTGTTTTCACAAATAAAATTGTTTGTACATTTTACTGCTACTGTGTACACTTGCCATTAGAAACACTGTCATAAATAGAGACTGTCGGCTTTTGGCTAGAGAATGAGAAAAACAAACCTTTCATGTAGATTTTCCATTGATGCTAGTTTGCGATTTATCGATTTTACAATCTTCAACCTAATGTAGAATAAGAAAAAGTCAGATAAAATGTTCGTTGATTAAGGTGAGGATAACGGTTTAACCAAGTGGAATAGAGTAGCAGTAAAGTTTTTACAAGGCATGATGAGTTTAGGTAAGATTATGACCATTTTTTGTTCATTCAGGATAGAATACGACCGAAGCTTATTTAGTATGTCTGTGCAGTTCAACTATCTATTATTATATATTATAGACCCGTTTACCGTTTCCAGTGCAGGGTGAGAAACAAAAACAAAATACACAAACACATAAAAGAAATTTAAACAATAAGAAAGAAAAAAAATAGAGTCATTATATTATCGATGAGTGTTCAGATGACCGCTGCTGAATTAGAAGTCAAGGTATATCCATCAGACTATTACCCTCTGGTGAACCAGTTTAAATAATAGTCATCATTGCTCTCCCAGTTCCAATTTCAGTAGGTGTTCCACAATTTGCTGCTTTGTTATCCAATTTTGTTCTTGCTACATCAGGCTCGTGCTTTAATACACGTTTTCACGTGGTTCGTGATTCCCTGAGGTTTGGAATTTTTAACACATCCAGGACACTTGTATTGATTATTTCTGTCTTTTATTAACAGTTCTGTAACTTTTCGTTGTATCACTCCCTGTGCTACTGCTCTTTCTTTTACTCTTCTTACCACTGCTCGTTGTTTATATTCAAATACAATTTCTTTGATATTGTTATGTACTGCCTTAGTTTGTACATTTATGTTAATTGCTTTTCGCCATCTATCTCTATCCTGAGTTAGACTTCTCCAGTTTCTAATTTGAAGTGCATCGATATCGAGCATGACTTTATCTTCCCACCTTTTCCGTATTCCAATACTATGCGGCCTTTTTTCGTCATGAAAGTATGAAAACATGATCTTTTTCATTAATGATGCTTCATTATCATCGTATACAGCTCTATTCACATGTCCGAACCATCTCAGTCGATTTCTACGCAGGATGTCTTCGATCGATGGTTGTCCAGTG